TTACCTTTAATAAGAAAATAAGCAAAAGGTTCAATCTCCCACAGATGACAGTTAGAAAGATTTTTCAACAGGTTCTTTTAATTATTATCAAGGTAACATTATTGATTCCTGTTAATTGATATTAAGGTTAATAATTGTCCATTTGCTGTCCTGGCTTTTCAGTGTCCTGCTAGTAAGATCAAGCTTGTTTCAAATGACTGTCTCTCTCTGTATTAAGTGGGATATACAGAAAGAGGTTTATTCAGTCAATTTCTGTGGACACAGCCCGGCCACTGCTTTTCCTCCACCTACATGGATGGTCTGCCTCTCTCTAAAATACTAAAATGATCGATTATGATCTCAGTACAATTTTTCTTTTCAATTAAGATTCTGAAAGAAGTCCCCTCTTCACTTTAATAGAGATAGCAAGCAAGCAAGCATGCAAACATTCTTACGATGTGGAGCAAGGACCTGGATGTACTCATGAAAGATGCATAGACACCTAATAATTTACCCTAATGCCTCTCCTCCCAAGCCATCAGCCTGCGGGGCCAGGGCTGTCCCAGGGTTTCCCTGATACTGCTGCTCTTTGAGGAATATGAGGAAACCACCAAAATTTTTAGTGTTAACAAAGACTTAAAGAAATGGAGAGACATTCCAAGTTACAGGATAGAAAGACCAAGTACTACTAACATTTCAAGATAAATGTTTAGATTTCATACTAATCCCCAGATATTTATTTGAAAGGAATATGTTCAGGGAAATGAAATAGTTCTCAAATTCATCTTTATAATAAAAATGTAAAAATATGGAAGATATTTTGAAAATAATATTAATATGAAGCAGGACTATTCCTGTCAAGCAATAAAATACAAATTTACCATTCTACTCCAGCACTCTTTCTATCTTCCTGAATTATTCCCATCATCTTCCAGGACAAATATCTTAAATAAAAATAAACTCGTAACTCTGCATTTCCCTCCATCTGTGGTCTCACTTTTCTCTGCTTTTCTTTGTAGCGAAACGTCTAGAAAGTTTTGTCTACACTTTTGTAGTTCTCCATGTCCTTTTTATTCTCATCCCACGCCAGTCTTGTCTTTGTCCTCATCAGTACACCAACACTGCACTTTGAAAGTTACTGGTTTGCATCTAGGCAGTCTAATGTGCGTTTCTGTCCACATTTACCAGAATGTCTCTGCATTTTGCACCATAGACTTCCTCCTCTACTTGCAACTGTCTCCTCCTTTGGCTGGCATGCTGCCCTCCCAGAGAGGTTTTCCTCTCACCTCTCTGCTGTCTTCTGTGTCGCTTATCGAATTCTTTTATCTACGCTCTAAATGTTAACTGGCCTGAAAGGCCCCATATGATCTTACTCTTCTACCTGTATGTTGTCATCTGGCTCCCATCTCCTGTCTCCCACATCCCACCAAGCCTTAGTCACACCGGCTCTCTTTCATTTCTTCCCACATCTCAAGTTTTTCCCATTTGCCAGAATCCTCACCCCTCCTGTTTTCTCCACTTGAAATGCTGTCCCCCAACTCTTACCACAAGTGGCTTCTCTTATCCATCATGTCTCACTTTAAAGTGACTTTCCCTGAATCTACTTTTCTTTGAAAGTAAGTGCTCTCCTTTAATCTCTCTCACAGTTTTTTTTAATATGTTTCATAGAAATTCTCATGCTTTGGAATTATCTGCTGTTTATTTGCTTGTTTATTATCTATTTGTTTTGAAAGTTCCATGGCTGACAGGGACCACATTTATGTGTTTGGATTTTTTTAAATTATTTTTATTTATGATTGACACATAACTATTGTATGTGATTATGGAGTACAGTCTGGTGTTTCCATATATGTATACATTGTATAAGGATCAAAAATGACTAAAAAAAGGCAATGTAGATAAAATGTTTGATGCAAAGATAATGTTTATTATATGAAAATATACAAATTGCTAAAAATTAAAAGCATTGGTCCCATACAGTTAGATGGGCCAAATAATTGAGTAGAAAATTCACAAAAGGGCTGAAGAAATGTTTGAAAATGTGCTCAAGCTCAATAATAAGCAAGGAGACATTAGTCTGAATTTTCAACTATTTGTAAACAATTCAAAGTATCTCCTGCTGCCATGGCACATTCAACATTTGCACCCAATAAATTTACTTCTGAAAATCTGTTCTCTGAAGTCCTCACTAACTTCTAGTAATTACTATCTTTGAGGTGTAGAATTGTAGGTCTTTTTTTTCCATCTTACATAATTCATTTTTAATAATATCACGTTTAACATTAAAGAGATTAAGTGATATTAATACCTATTGTTAGTGTACTTATAAGTTGGCAGTGTTCTCTAGCTGCTATTTCTTTATAACCTATTAGGAAGTGATACATAAAATCTTAAAATGGATTATTCTTCAATAAACAACTTGATTTGAAAGTAATGTTCATATGTGTATATAAACTTACAGTCTTCTATTTGCTTTTTAGGAAAATAAAGAAAGGCAGGAAAGAATTGAACGAAAACAAAAGAAACGTCATTCCTTTCTTGAAAATGAGGCACTGCCTCCATGGAGCCCTCCAAGCAGAACTGTGTTCTCAAAAGTGTTTTAATAATTGTAGTTCTTATATTATTTAGCTGTTTATCAATTTGCCAACTTTAGCCATGGATTTAAAATTATTTGTTGAATTATTTTTAGTTAGAAGAATCTATTTTAATTAAATGCCAGACACTTCTGCTGACAATGAAAAAGATACTCTGGAGTTTAATCAGTGAAAGCATTTTTGAACTATAGATAAACTGCCTCAAATGAAAAGGTAATAATCATATTATTCTTACCGTTAAAATACATACAGCTTTATCATGTCTTGGTAATTCTCACAGTGGAATGATTCATGATCGCTTCACTAAGCGCTGCATGTTACTTAAGTATGTTTAATATCAATAATAAAAATGAAACCATCTACGTACTATAATCATAGAAACAATTCAATTTGTGGAAGATGTGCATCTAGACTTAGGTTTTTAAATGGTCGCTCATTGGGAGTGTGCATATATTATTTCTTCTGAAACTGATTTTCAGCACAAAGCAGTTACATTTACACTGTGCAAGGTAGAATTTTGGTCAATTGAGGTAATAGTTCAGTAGAACTTTAGTCATCGAGGCATTTTATTTGAGAGTTTTGCCTTAAGTCTAAATATGAGTGCACTTTATTCCAAGGCTTAAATGACAATCATAGGCACTTTATAATGAACCCATCTCTGAAATTTTTCTTTCTAGATTTTATGGCAGTTTATTATTTCAGTAACCAAAAGACAGTATTTGCATGGTAGTGATATATTTCCACATTATTTATGGAAATTCCACAGGAGTCCAAGAAGATTATCACTATAATTAACTTCCAGACTAAAGCCATACATGCGATTAAGGCAATTGTCCTCTTAACTAATCCAAAGTTTTGTAGCTTATATTTAGAAGACAGCTGTATGGGAAGGTAAATTTGTAGAAAACTTTTATTTATTTGATCTCTGCATGTCTTTGTATTAATTGGTCTCATACTTGACTTGGTCATCTAAGTTAAGACAGACCAAATGTATGTTCTGGTCATTGAAATTCAGCCTAGTCAATCACGCAATGCAGAGATGATAGATGAGAAGAAACAGTTGCTGTTCATTGAGCACTTGACATCATCTCTGCTGGATCTTTACAATAACTATTCAGAGTAGGTGATATTAGCTTCAATTTACAGATAAAAATACTGAGGTTCAGAGAAACCAAATAACTTGCCATACATCTGGAGTGTGACTGAGTTGGGATCAGAGCTGATTCAGTCTGTCTGACTGAGTCTGCCTCTCCCCCGAATCCCTGTGCTCTTTTTCACATTCCCATGTGGCCTCAGAGAATTGTAAGTTCTGTCAAGATCTTTGTATTATATCAACCTTGTAAGCACATTTAACTTTTAGAGCCCAAAATCATGCATTGTTATCCAAGGATTATCTTTCCCTAAAAAAATCACTGCTTGTTGTTAGAGATGGGGGACCTCATTAAATCTGTAAAATGGAATAATTCATAAGAATTAAGGAGTTACTCAAACATCTTGTATCTAATATTAGAATGTCAAAAAACTGAGCAGATTATGTAAATGTAGGCTTTGACAAGTCACTCAGGTTTCACACACTGAGCATTAACCTTACAGTGTGTGTGTGCAAGATAAGAAAGATGGCATGGATCACTTTGTAAGATCATATCAGTGCTATAGACAAATAAGAGAAATTTCATAGATAAAACTAGAAGCCCTTTTATACTGCTAGAACTAGGAGAATACTTCATGAAATTGAAATTATTACCAGAATATGTATTCTCAGCATGTGATTTAGGACCCCTCTCATTCATTCACGTGTCCCCATAGTACCAAACAATGCCTACCAGAATAGATTAAGTGTTTATTGTATTGAATTAGCTATTCAGAGTTAAAATATATTTTCAAATTCCAGGGAAGTAAAAGGAAAAATTGAAAAAGGTACAGCTACTTTTGGGAATATGATATCATAAATGTATGTGTCATAGATTTAACATGAATTATTTACCCTCCAGATCATCTTCTTCTACATTATCATATTTAGTGGCTAACCATTATTACCTTTTAGGTTGTTGTGAGAATTGAATGATATTATTTAATTAATGTAAAGTATTTGGCACATAATGACTTAAATGTTCATTGTTGTCATCATTTATTTACCATCGTGAAGCCTGCATTTCCCCACTTCATGAACATGTAAAGGTTAACATAGAGTTGATAATGGTTATTTTACATTTTACATTTTTAGCATACAAGAAGAAATCTCTACCTTGCTGGAAGTCTAGACTATACCACTCAAAAGAGAATATAGAGGCCTGTATTCAGGCACCTCCTTAAAAGAAAACTAAATATTAATTTCTTACGATTGCACCTGAGGTAAGATGACATGAGAAATTGAGGTGTTTGCATAGACCCAGCAAGTCATTTCATTTAAATATGAACAGGGACTTTGATCTTACAGTGATAAATAGTATATTATTTCCTGTTTATAGCAACCTGTGCAGAATTTATCTAGTTAAATGAAATCACCTCTTCTAGCAGAAATAAAGCTGAGTTTTGGGAGATGGGTAAAAATACAGTGCTATTATTTACTTTTTCAGATCTTTGCAAATGGGAAAATCAAGCTTTATATAAATATTCTCTTGACTATATTTACTTAAGGGGTATGATTTCCCCATATTTCCTTAGAAAGTATTATATCAATATAGATATTTACTCATTAGGTTTTCGTTGATTTATAACATAAGGGAATGTTTAATTCAAATTAAGGACACTAAAAGCCTATAGACTTTCATATTAAACATCCAGTTTTATAAATTGCATTGATCATTTGAAGAATGCTGAAATTTCAAAGTTATGAAAATAAGAATTTTATGAAAAAAACATTACTGAAAACAAGTTTCCTTAGAAAGCACATTTGTTGATAAATTTAAACATTAATACTAAAAAATAAACTATTATACAGAATTTAAGATTCGTAATAACGAAGAAGATGGTAATGCTACATAAATTTTAAAAAATGGCATTTTAGATCAGTAGGTCAAAGTTTTCTTAATGAAAGAAATAACTATTCATGGCATAACAATATTCTAGTGGTTTGTATTTGCCTCACCTGTGGAAAATGGTAGTTCCTTTATCGTTTTAAGTTGTATTGAAACTGATCTTTTTCAATGTTGCCAAAATTGTATGTGATAGTAGTGAGGTGTCCATAGTTGTATGTTCCTTGGAGTAATACAACTATGCATCTGTACAAGATTTTAATAAACCTGGTCTAAACCCTTCTACTTCTAAGTTGAAGAAACCGATTTCCAAGGACTATGACTTGCCCAGTCTCATACAACTCACTATAGGACATCAGGAGTTAGAACTCTGGCATTAGGTTTTACAGTTGTATTCTGCTCAGCATTTCACAATTTTGATAATCTGATAAAACTTTCACACTAACTTTTGTAACCATGGTCATTATTAATTTATTTAGTGTCCTCTCATCTGTTTCCTTAGTCCTCCACTGCTTTCTCCCCAACTATCCACAAGATCAAAGCTGTTTGGGTACCTACACTGCCATTTAGAGTGTGGGAAACAATGAAATTTCTTAAATCCTGCATCATGGGCAAAATACAATAGAGAAAAGAAATTTCACCAAATAAGGGAAATTGCATGTTAGTCTTAATCATTCCCAAGAATAAACTAGTAGAAGAAACTTAGATTTCCCTAATGTAATCTTGGCTCTGATTTCAATAGTGCTATATAAAAAGGTGTTTAAATCCATATGCTTCCATTCTACATAAAGGTATTGTCAACTTTCCTAGTTTCTATTTACCCTGGCTGATAGAATAATAAAATTCTATGTAAATGCTAACCTGAAGGTTCCTCCGAATTATTTTTACTTAAAAATTTCATGTGATTCTGCCATTTTCAATTATGTATGTTACATGTAATTGTATAATGTTAACTTGGATCGACATAATTCTTGGTATTGAATATAGGTTCATTTAAGAATTGAGATATTTAATGTCTGTTTTTTGGTACCATGTTTTCATATAATCCTTAATTTATTAAAGTCAACCATTCATGATTTATTTGAATAATATTATTTATTGACTATGTGCCAAAATTTTATTTCATAATGTTAGGAAACATGGTGTGAATTTTATTTCTGGGCTAAGGATGAAATAATCCAATTATATGGATATACCTTTTATTACAAGTGGCTAAAAATTTGGATATAAAACTGTTTACTACAGAAATTACAAGATGATATAAATATATAATTAATTAGAAAATGCAAATAAGCAAAAGTCACCCATGCTCCCCATCTTCCAAAGATAATTATAATTAACATATCATTTTGTACTCTTCCAGTTAATTAGTTTCCAGTGTACTGTCCCCTGTAGCTGAAATTAAACTGAGAATGAAGCAGGAAGAGATAGTTCCCTTCGTGTGTGAGTGTGTGTCTTTCTCTCTCGCTTGTGCTGTGTATATACCAATGTGTATATACACATATAATATATGCATATATTCAAACATACACATACATTTTATTCTTTGAAATAAAAATGAGATCATACTACATATTTTGATAACCATATTTTTCCACTCAACAATATATCATGAACATATTTCCATACTAATATAACTTTCTAATAATTTTTGATCCTGCAACTATAATTTAATCTATTGAGAAATTTATTTCTTTACAAATGTTTACTTTGGCAAATAATGATAGTCATTATAATTGTAGCCAATATCCTTATTAGAAATTGTAGACTTCATTAAATCTTTAAAAGTAAATAAGAATACATAATATATAAGGAATTATTCAAACATCGTGTATCTAATGTTAGCATGTTGGAAAACGGAGCAGGTTAGGTAACAAACTTTGAGATAGTCACTTAGAAGTTTTCACACACAGGATTAACCTAGCTGCAGTGTGTGTGCAAGATAAAAAACTGTCATGGATCACTTTGTAAGGTCATATTGCTGTAACTAAATAAAAGAAATTTTATAAATAAAACTAGAAGCCTTTTTATATT